GAGAAACTGAAAATCTACGATTAGAGAGGTTACTGTGCCAATACTTTTTTTACTATAAAATTTTTGTTATTTCTTTTTTTATAATTTTTGCTATTATTATTATTAAGTAATATACTTTAGTATACAACTAGTGTACATTAAAAGACATAAAGTGACATACATGGTGTCAGCAATATTTTTCAATAATTAAAGATATTTACAAAAATTGTGGTGTGCTAATACTTATTTGATCCACTACATATATATATATATACACACACGAAGTATCTCAAGGAAGTACGACGCGCGAGATTATTCGAACTCACTAATTAACACTTTAATGGCCGCTCATACAACATGTGTGTGATAGCCGGAACATTGGCTGTTATTTTATTTATAACGATATATATATATTTAAAATTATATATAAAATTAAATTTGTTGTTTTTTGTTTTATGTTAATTTTTTCGTGAATGACAATAAAGATTTTTTTCAATTAATTCTTGAGAAATATTACCGGGCCCCTGACGACATTTGACTGCGTACACGTGTGGCCGTTAAAGTGTTAATTATGTTCCTTGGAAAAAAATTAATTTATGATAAAAAAAATTAACCATTTTAATTTATCAACTTTAAAAATTTTATAAATTACACACTATTCTATTCTTAATAGAAAAAAAACGTGAAAACGATGAAAGATATACATTTCATGAGTTTCATTCGTGCGATTCGAATTTTCCGCGTGATTGTCCTTTCGAATGAACTGAATATAAAATTACGAAGGATATTCAAATTTCTCGAATAAATTAGAACACAACGAGAACGACGAATAAGAACTATGTAATTTTTCAAACGATCATACGCGATCGAATTTACGAAATAATAAAAAGAACATAAATCCTCGTGATCGTTGTTGGTTGTCATTGTAAAAAAAAAAGAAAAAGAAAAACAAAAGAATATAGAAGTCATTGAAATGCCGTTGTAAAATTGTCGGTAGATTTAAAGGAATTACGATAAAATTTATTATTATTATTATTATTATTATTATTATTATTATTATATTATTATTAAATTATATGATTACTTTTCATTATCTTTACTTTTATTATCATTCTTATTCTTATTAATATTATCAATTTTATTTTTGTTACTATTACTATTGTAAAATATACATAAGCTCGTATATAAAAAAGAAAATGAAGAAAAGGAAGAAAAACAAGAGAAAAAATAAAATCTCAACAGAGATAATGAATCTTTCGATCATTTGATCATACATCTCGCTGACTAATTAATACAAAATGTATACCTAAGCTTATAAGCGTGTATGTCCCCCATTACCGAAAATATAAGCTTAATCAATAACAAAACAACAGAGATAAAGATAAAGAAGAAAAGAAAGAATAAAAAGAAACAAAAACAGAAATAATGTTGAAAGTGTAAAATTTTATCGTTAATTATCGTTCAAATATTTAAGGATGAATAACAAAAAAGTATATACATATATATGTATGTATACATACAAAAGAAAATCGATAAAAGCTATTCGTAAATATTCACTCGCGATTTCTACGTTTATCTATTTTTTATTTTATAATTATTTAAAAAACAAAATATCATTCGATTTGTGACCAAACTTTCATCCTCGCTGACGTCTCTTTCCGATTATTAAAAAAAGAAAAAAAGAAAAAAAATAAAAGAAGAAGAAAATCGGCCTTCTCGTCGTATAATAAATAATTAAATATTAAATATTAATTAATTAAACATATATATATATATATATATATGTATATACGCGCGAGACGATATAGTTATTATATTATTTATTTGCAAAAATTTAAATAAACGTTTTAATATCCTTCTCCCCTTCGTTTGGACGGAGAAAACCCACATAACGAGCTTCGATTATAAAACAAATATTCGAATTCGATAAATATCAATCGCGTTGTTTAACGGTGTAACATAATTCCATATACATAAATACATAAAATAAATACACAAGATATCATATATATATTACTGTTCCACAAATATAATATAATATAATATGTATATCGCATCGTTTGATCGAGATCGAAAGAGATAACCGCCCGATGTTTTTCTAAGTTATTAACAATTTTCAAACGAGGTTTTTTTTCCTCTCAAAAAAATATCTGTACACTAAAAAAATCAAGAAGAAAAATGCAGACGTACGAAATACAGAGAAAGAAAAAGATTATTAATGTATAATATCAAAAAAATACGAATGTGTTTTCGTTGATAAGTTTTGAGCATCAAAAAAAAAAAATAAACCTGATATTCTTTTTTTTTTTATTTCAATAAAAATTTATTTTGATCTAATAATAATAGTAGTTTCTATTTTAAGCTCATAACTTTTCAACCCATCTACGTATTACCGTAAATGATTGCGA